GTCAGACGCTTCGAAAGTTTTCTGGGAGACCTTCGGAGCCCCCTCCCAACGAGTTTTGAAAAGGGAGGGTACGTCACAGCACGCGCTGTGACGGTGTGTGTTTTCAAGGCACCCAGGGCCCCAATGACAATTCGTGGCCCCTCAAAACCGAGGTTTCCGGCGCCATCTGGGGCGTTCTGACCCCCCTGGGGCATTCACAGGGTTCACCAGGGCCGTCATAAGCCCTCTCAAGCGATTCCCCTCTCCCGCCCACTCCTTCATTCCCGTCCATACCTCCTCCCCCAGGGAACAACGCGTCACAGCATGCGCTGTGACATTACTTGCCTTTCTCCATTATCCCTCCTTTATTGTCCCTCCTCACACTTCCCATCTCCCCCCAATCCTTTCCAGGGGCTTCCTGGGCTCGCCGAGCCCTTGGGGCCATCGGAAGCGTCCCAACGCCCTCCGAGGCTTCGGGCGCCATCTGGGGCTATCTGGCCCCCCTGGGGCCTTCCCAGGGTTCACCAGGGTCGTCATAGTCCCTCTCAAGCGATTCCCTCATCCCTCTCCCTCTATCCCCTCCCTCGTTCCCCTTCCCTACCTCTTCCCCCAAGGAACAACGCGTCACATCATGCGCTGTGACATTCATTGCCTTCCTCCTTCCTCCATCCTTTATTGCCCCCCTCCATCCGTCTGCCAGGGAGGGGACAGCCCCAGTCCAGTGCTGTTGCCCACGCGTGGCGCAATATTGTTCAAGCGCCAAACACGTCTCAATGACAGTCACCCGCAGCTGTGTTCCATTCAAGAGCTATTGCATATGATGTACTCTAGCCACCTTGCATCCATATTTGCCCTGTACAACTTGTTCACACACTCCGGCCTGCAATATTTCCACGGCATTATGGCTGATATATCATCTGTGGACAGCATTGCTGGTCAAAGCTCGACCTTACCAGGTGATGCCGGTAGCCCAGAAGAGCTGAAGGCGCCAGAGGAGCTGCTGTACGCCCCAGACATCCCCATCGAACGACGCTTCCCGAACACAGCTGGGGTCGTGCGGCTTCAAAAGCTCAGGACTTGCTACGAGGTCTGCGGGCTCTGGAGTCGCAGAATCCCTCTCGCGCCCCCCAGGGAGGAGGACTGGGGGGAAGAGGAGGAGGAGGATGAGGAAGATGAGTAGGAGGAGGAGGTGGAGGAGGAGGAGGAGGAGGAGGAGGAGGAGGAGGAGGAAGGCTGCGGGCGGCGGACCCAACGCGGAGAGCCAAGCAACGGATCAGAGGGTGCAGAGGACGCTTGGGATGACGCACAGCACTCTCTGAAACAGCCCGGCAAGGCGAGGAAAACTCACAACCGTTCGGCCGCCCATCTTTGGAGGGGGGGCAGGAACCTAGAAGAGGACAGCCCCCCTAGGTTCTCCTCTTCTAGGTTTTGCCCTGGTTGCTTTATATAATGCCACTTACAAAGAGGGAGAGGGGGGAGGGCGGAGGAGCGCGAAAGGAGGACGGCGCTCCCCACCAGGGCAAAGCCCTGGTTGACAGCCCCCCCCTTCTGACCTGCAGAAAGGCAGGGCGCGGGCGCCGCAAAACCTGGGAATGAGCCAGGATTGTGGCAACTTGAAACAGTCCCCTGGCACGCTCTCGTGGCAATCTAAACGGTCGCCTGGCGAGGGCCCGTGGACATTCACAAATTGTTTGCCCCAAGGGTGGGGCAAACATTCGGTGAACGATGGGATCGGTGGGGGGCCTGTGGATTGGCAGCCAAAAAGCAGCAAGACGAGGAGGAAAACGAGGAGGAGGAGGAGCAGGAGGAGGAGGAGGAGGATGAGGAGGAGGAGGAGGAGGACGAGGAGGAGGAGGAGGAGGGGGAGGAGGAGAAGGAGGAGGAGGAGGAGTGAGGGAGGAGGGAGGAGGGAGGAGGATGGAGGAGGGAGGGAGGATGAGGAAGACGAGGAGGGAGGAGGAGGAGGAGGATGAGGAGGAGGAGGAGAAGGAGGAGGAGGAGAAGGAGGAGGAGGATCAGGGGGAGGACGACGACGCACGCCTCTGGAGCACAGTTCGATGTCTGGGCAGACTAGACGCTCTAGGACCGGCTTACAACCGAAGATTTCGTGCACGCGCACGCCCTATGAGGATCCACAACTTGTCAATAGTTGCATCCGACCCTCAGGCAAACCTGTCAAGCTACAAACGTGGAGTAGCCCCCTCCACGCAAACAAAAATTGAAACGGATACGCCGGGAACCATCAATCACTGCGCGGGGCCCCCAAACCCCGGAGATGGTATTACCTCCTACCCTGAAGCAATCCAAGCATGCTTCTGATCGTGGTGCTGTCCCACCCGGCGGCTCGCATTGAAGCAGCCGCATCACGGGAAGCAGAGCGTCCCAGCATGCCTCAGGGGGAGGAGGGGGAGGAGGGGGAGGAGGAGGAGGAGGAGGAGGAAGAGGAGGAGGAGGAGGAGGAAGAGGAGGAGGGTTTTTCTTTTATCCCTCAGGTGAAGCAGATGTCATGTTCGACGGCATGGTTTGGTTCGGCTGGGCAGGAAAATTTCGTGAGGCACAAAGACAATGACCGGGAGCAAAGTCACACTCTTCGCCACGCAGTTCACAGTATCAAAAAATATGGCGTGGTCGAGGAGAACCGCGGGTCTGCTTTCTCTCAATTATCCCACGGTGACACGTTGCCCCACAACATGATAACATTTGCGCACTACGCCAAGGGTTTCTACATAGCTAAGCAGCAGTTCCCTGACAATCCAAACGTCAAGTGCACGGAAAGAAATGGATTGCACGTCATTGCTTTCAGTTCCAGGATGCCCAAGGAGTGCGTTGCATGGATTCGGGATTTCTCCAACCAATTCGTCACTGGAGGTGTGAGTTTCGTTGAGACTATCGATTGGGTTCGAATCGTTGATGCGCAGTGGCTCGCCCATGCAGATGCAAACAAAATCCATAAAGTCGTTGGCGCCAAAGGCAAAGACTCACTCCGGTCCAAGACGTGGGAGTGGATCAATTCGAACCATAAAGATTTGGCCCCCCCCAAAGGGGAAATCATACCGACCATGGGTGTCTTCGAGAATGCGAAAGCACTCATTTCTAAACTTGACGAGCTTGGATGGGAACAAAAATGGAGAGCGCACATGTTCGCGATCACTTGCTTCAATGACGGTCGCGTCAAAACATCTTCGGTCATAAGTACACTGAATAATTGGTTGTTGTTCATATCCAAAAAGCAAGTGAAAGACGTGCTGTCAGAGGAGAACCTCGAGATTTTTGCTTTCCAAGCTTTTGCCTTCATGGTCCCAACGACTTCTCAGAAGGAGGAGGAGGATATCTCAGCAGGCATGGGCGATGATGCCCCTGATCCCATCAGAGAGAGATCTGGAGTGCTCGACGAGATGGGCATTGTTGACGTAGCCCTGCGTTCGGATGGCACCCGCCCCCCGTGGATCTTCTTTACGCAAGGCCGGGCCGACCAACCTGCCATGTTCAATTTGGCGCTCACAGATATATCCCAATCCAAAGTCTACGTGGCGGCCATCGCAGACTTGAAAAAGTGCAGGGAGCTGGGCATATCTCTAGCGCAAGCGCCAGACGTGAGCAAACAGAAAAAGCGAGGCACTGGAGGCAAGGCGAAGCCCAACGCCAAACGCAGGAAACAGGCAGAGGTCCCTGGTGAAGGCGATGCAGCTTCGCCTCCAGTTGCCCCCCCTGCGACAGACGGCGACGCTCAACCCGCAACGGGTGCGGGGGAATCCCCGACGCCTGCCAGCAGCGAGTTGCCCCGCTTGCAGCATATGAAGCCCATCCAGTTCGTTGATGCAGTCAGCCTCGTCGACAGCTTGGTCTCCTCAGATTTTGCGCTGAGCCGGCCCATCACCTGGCTCGAGGACCTGCAGCTCGTGGTTGACTCGTCGATCGAAGCCGCCACGGTTGGTTGGCCCACGGAGGACAGATCTTCGACGTGCCGTCCCTTGAAAGAGTACGCTTTCTCCATCGCCCTCGAATTTCTATTCAAAGAGCAGGTCACTATGGGTAGGAAGTTAATCAAAGGCTGGTCCTCCCTACGCGTAGAACTGAAGAGGGTGATCGTGGAGGCTGCCCGGAAATGTGCTGAAAAATCCATCAGGAGCCGCCCAGGCATTACAAAGGACAGCATCGCTGCAGCCCTCAAGACGCGTGAGTCAGCGCGCCGGGAGGCCGAATCGGATCTCTCAGAGAACGCGAAGATGGTTGTCACCATGGCCGACGACGAGGACGAGCGCTTCAGCAACTTCAAGAAGTTCTGCGCAGCCAACAACAGCAGGGTGCCCGTAGCGTACCAGCCAGCAGTTCAATCCCTCGGACTGGGATTTGGGAAGGGCCATGGCACTGACTTGACGCCCATCGATGACCCCCCGGAGGAGGCGTCACACCACGTGCTGTGACACCATGTTTCTCAGATATTGGTGTTCGGGGTGGCCTGGTTGCCACGGTTTGGTCCGCCTTGAAATTGTGGCCAGGTCTCCTCCTCCTCCTCCTCCTCCTCCTCGTCTTCCTCTTCCTACTCCTCCTCCTCTTCATCCTCCTCATCCTCCTCCTCCTCCTCCTCCTCATCCTCCTCCTCCTCCCCCTCCTCCCCCTCCTCCCCCTCCTCCTACTCGTCATTCTCGTCCTCCTCGTCCTCCTCTTCCTCCTCCTCCTCGTCCTCCTTCTCCTCCTCCTCCTCTTCCTCCTCCTCCTCCTCCCCCTCCTCATCCTCCTCCTCCTCCTCCTTCTCATCCTCCTCCTCCTCCTCCTCCTCATCCTCCTCCTCCTCCTCCTCCTCCTCCTCGCCAATTGAGTTGCGATATCGTCCGCGCCATGGCACTGACTTGACGCCCACCCAGGACCCCCCGGAGGAGACGTCACACCATGTGCTGTGACATCCTGTTTCCTGGAGATTGGGGTTCCAGGGGACCTGGTCACCACGGTTGGGTCTGCCTTGAAACCTTGTCAGAACGCAGAACATGCAAGTCTGAGCTAAAATGTGGGGTGTCAGATCCTTCGCGCTGGTGGGGCAACATCATGGCCATGTTAGGGGGGGGGGGCTGAGGACAGAACTTCATTAACCAGCTCATGTCTACCACGGGAGCCGATTCATTTCAGCCAACGGCCTCTTTGAAAGACGTGTTTACGGTGTTGTGGCCGCTCATGCAGGAGTGCATCAGCGAGCATTGGCTCAGTATGTGCAAGACCATCGGCCAGGAGATGGCACATGTCGGCCGAGATATCCCGTCGAACGTGCTTGAGGTTTTCCCTGATGTCGATGTCACGAACGAGTTGTTGTCCAGGCGGAGCGCGTATACTTTGCACAGCCTCACGGGATTGTTTCTTCGAGCAGGAGCGACAAAAGAACTTATCATCACGCTCACAGACGAGAGAAAGGACCCGTTGGATACACGTGCGTTGCAACTCTTGTCAGGGAAGCTCCAGGAGCTCATGGTGAGCGGGGTTCTAGGTGGCAAACCTGCTGTTGCTCGGGAGATTGCGATCATGGATGGTCGCTTGATCGGCGTGGCTCCCGGGGTGTGGGTCGCCGCCTGGTCGACGCTCATCCAAAAAATCTCTCGGCAGCTAACTGCTGGGACGAAACACCTTCTGGAAGATACCACGAGGGTTGCGTTGACGCTGAACGGGGTGGGTGCGTCGGAGGATCCAGCTGGGGCACAACGAGAGTTAGATGCGGATGATGATGGCGAGACCGAGCTTGGCGGCTTTGCAGAGGACAGCAGCGCCGCGAAGGAGGGCGAGAAGGACATCTCTGTAAAGAAGGAGCCCGTGTCGGCTGACCATCCCGCGCCGGGGGGCCCTCCTGGGGCGGCAGCCGGCAGCGAGCAGCAGCAAGAGGCGCCTCAGACAGGAGCGCCGTCAAAGGCTCCGCCAGAAGGGCCAACGCCATCTGCGCAGGACAATGACACTCCAGTGTTGGGGCCAGATGGGTCACAGATGGTTGAATTGGGCTTGCTGAAGAATATCTTCAGCTACGTCGACACCGAGGCGCTGTCAGCAGCCACGCCTGCAATCGCAGGAGAGACTGCCAGGATGGCGTTTATGACGAAACACTCCCAGAAAGACGCAGTGTTCAAAATTCCCCAAAAAGAGCTTACAACTGCCTACGTCCACCAGCTATGCCTCTTCCTCGAGCTGGAGATGGTGATCATGGCAGGCTCGGAACCAGAGGCGGGTGACAAGGTGCGCGTGGCCAGCGGGCCGCAAACAGAGAGCCTGCTCTTCACCAGGGAGGCGATGAACGACAAGCCAATGTATTTCGCGGGCCCTGTCAGGACCACTCGCGGCACTGACTCCTCGTTCCACATCTGCACGATAAGCGGCGTGGACGAGAACAACAGGGAGACGGGTATGCAGATTCCGTTGTACATGGTGAAGAGCCCTGAGTTACCTATGACTTTGCTTTTTTTTTTTCTTTTTTTTTTTCTTTTTTTTTTTTTTTTTTTTTTTTTTTTTTTTTTTCTTTTTTTTCTTTTTTTTTTTTTTTGTGTTTTTTTTTTTTTTTTGTTTTTTTTTTTTTGGTGTTTTTTTTTTTTTTTTTTTTTGTTTTTTTTTTTTTTTTTTTTTTGTTTTTTTTTGTTTTTTATTTTTTTTTTTTTTTTTTTTTTAATTTTTTTTTTTTTTGTTTTTTGTTTTTTTTGTTTTTTTTTTTTTTTGTCTTTTTTTTTTTTTTTTTTTTTTTTTCTTTGTTTTTTTTTTTGTTTTTTTTTTTTTTTGTTTTTGTTTTTTTTTTTTTTTTTTTTTTTTTTTTTTATTTTTTTTCTTTTGTTTTTTTTTTTTTTTTTTTTTTTTTTTTTTTTTTTTTTTTTTATTTTTTTTTTTTTCTTTTTTTTTTTTTTTTTTTTTTTTTTTTTTTTAATTTTTTTTTTTTGTTTTTCCTACTTTTGTTTTTTTTTTCTTTTTTTTTATTTTTTTTTTTTTTTTTTTTCTTTTTCTTTTTTTTTTTTTTTCATTTAACTCTCTTTTGTTTTTTTTTCTTTTTTTTATACTTCAGCTTGCGATTCCCAGCATGGCTCGTTGGCTGTGCGGTGAAGGGGAATCCCCAAGCATGCAACCAGTATTCACGACCTTCATTTTGGAACTACCTTATAACCTGGAGATTAACAGCACGAAGGAGATCAAGGTTGCCTTCCCTGGATTGGCGCCGATTCCTGATCTGCAGCAAGGCCCTGATAAGCCCGGCGCAGTCCGCACGCTGACAAGGGATATGATCCCAGGGGAGCTGCCGGACGGCGTTGCTCGTGGTAAAGGCAAAGGCAAAGGCAAAGGCAAAGGCCGGGGTCGTGGCAGGGATGCCACAGCCTCATCCATGAACGAGCACCCTGTGCTGCAGGACCTCCTCGCTTTCGTGGGGGCCAAAGCAGCTTTGACCCATGCCCAGGCGGCCGCGGGCCCTGCTGGCGCGCCCCCTGACGCGCCAGCGGAACATCAGGAGATCGCGACGGAGAAGGATCGCAACAAGCTATCCAAACACTTGATGCGGTGAGGCCGTCTAGTCTTGAATACCGTCACGAATCGTGCCAGGCGGAAGCCGGCAGGATGCATTTTCACTTTGGAAATGCTTCAGGGTATCCACAGATATGCCCTCTGCAGAAGGGGAAGAACAGGGCGAGGATGGGGGAGGGGGAGGATGGGGGAGGAGGAGGAGGCGGAGGAGGAGAGCGAAGCTAGCGAAGCGATCAATTTTTTAGCCATGGGCCATGGCTGATGTCACGGACTCTTGGAGTCGAAGATGCGCCGGGCCGTTCCTGAGCGCACGTGGAGAAACAGCTTACCGACCCATGCCACTTGCGTTGCACGGCCGGCTGGCCGGCCGGCCGGCACAAGAAGAGGAGTGGAGGGATGGGGGAGGAGGAAGCAGGTCGTCGTGGACCTGCCCGCGGCTGGGCCCGGCAGCCGTGCTCCATCTCTTCCACTGCTCTGATCTGCTCTGAGCTGGGGCGGGGGGAGGAGGAGGAAGAGGAAGAGGAGGAGGGGGAGGAGGAGGAGGAGGAGGAGGAGGAGGAGGAGGAGGAGGAGGAAGAGGGGGAGGAAGAGGAGGAGGAGGATGAAGAAAGAGGAGGAGGATGAGGAGGAGGAGGAGGAGGAGGAGGAGGGGGAGGAGGGAGGTAAAGAGGAGGAGGGAGAGGAGGAAGGAGGAGGAGGAGGAGGAGAAGGAGGAGGGGGAGGAGGAGGAGGAGGAGGAGGAGGAGGAGGAGGAGGAGGAGGAAGACGACGACGAGTAGGAGGAAGAGGAAGAGGATGAGGAGGGGGAGGACGACGACGACGAGGAGGACGAGGAGGGGGAGGAGGAGGAAGACGAGGAGGAGGAGGAGGAGGAGGAAGTGAAGGAGGAGGGGGAGGAGGAGGAGGAATACGAGGAGGAGGAGGAGGAGGAGGAGGAGGAGGAGGAGGAGGAGGAGGAGGAGGAGGATGGGGGAGAGGGAGGAGGAGGAGGAGGAGGAGGGGGAGGAGGAGGAGGACGAGGAGGAGGGGGAGGAGGAGGAGGAGGAGGAGGAGGAGGAGGCTTGAATTTTTGCGTGCACCAACGCGACCAATGACCGACCGTTGACAACGCCCCACCGAATGTCTTGAGGAAGCTTACAAATATTTCCGCGGGGCCCCAAGGTGTCGTCCTCGCGGGCGCGTCGGCCGCCCCGGTGGGGGGCGTTCCGTGTGATTTCAAAAAGCGGCACGCCCAATAACATCAGAATCAACGTGGCATTCCAAGGCCGCCATGGTGCAAGGAATCCTAAACAAAGGTCCACTGCGGAGCGTCATTGATGACATATTTGCTTTCGAAAATGCATCATGTTCCGTGTTGTTCCAAAGATTGCGTCAAGCCCCAGAAGGGGCGCGTTGCTTCGATCCGATATTTTTGTGTACAGGAGCGATATGTATCATGTGCAAAAAGCACATCACTAAACATCGGTTTGTCTTGGGCGTGATATTTTTCACGTTCCTGGCCGCGCGTTGTTCGCTGGTCAACGCTAAGAATTCTGGGGTGAATTTGCGGGCCGGGGAGAAGGGCCGCCGATCTGAAGTGGGTGCGAATCCGAGCATCCGCCCCCCACGCTGTGACAGCGATTTTCGCGTGCCTCTCGAAATGGACTTTCCCAGGTATGGCACTGGAACTGATGCCAGCGCTGCAGCGGAAGCACGATTGGTAACGAGCAGAAGCGCGGAAATGAGGCCAGCGATGCAGCGGGAGCACAATTCGGCCAGCGCTGGACATGAGGCCAGTGCTGCAGCGGGAGCACGATCTGGATCGAGCGCAAGCCCGAACATAAGGCCAGCGTTGTAGCAGGAACAGCATGTTAAATAATCGGAAAGAAACGGATGTGTCAAAACACATCTGAAGCACCTGGTCGCCGGAATCCTGCGTGTAAAAAACAGTACGCGGAGGGGGGGCGAACATCTTCCGAACAAAGTCAGGGGAGGAGGTGGAGGAGGAGGAGGTGGAGGAGGGGGGGAGGAGGAGGAACAGGAGGAGGAGAGGAAGGAGAAGGACGATAGGAAGGAAGGCAGGAACAGGATGAGCACGAGGAGGATGAGCACGAGGAGGGGGAGCAGCAGGAGGAGGAGTAGGAATCCCCCTTGCTGCTCGCCCATCTCCGAGGACACCGACGTCAAGGCGGTCCTGACCTCCGCCCTGGAGAGCGTGCTCGCGGAGCCGTCCGCCGAGCTTGTTTCCCCCCGGGATTGAGGCAGGTCCACGCCAGACGGGCGGCCATTCGGGGCGTTCCAGAAAGGGCCCTGCCTTCGAGGATCGAAGGAGTCGTCACGTCTTCCGCGTCCGAAGGCGGCGGAAGGTCGGCGGCCGGCGGCGGAAGTGAAACTGCGGCGGCTCCTTTTGCGGAAGCCAGCGGAAGCAGAGGTCGACCTCCCAACGGCACCTTTGAGTTGAGGGTTTCCGAGATCGGTGATGTGGGGGGCAGTGCTCGTGGGGGGGGGGATCGGTATCGTTTGACCGATCCCTATACCCATCCCCATCCACGCCTCGAGCCCCGCCGTCTTGCGGCCTCGGTGGGGGATGTGCCCCTCGAAGCCCGAAGAGAGCAGCCTCTATCCCCGTGAGTGGAGGCAAGTCGGCCAGGGGGGCCCGTCCCACGCCGGTGGGGATGGGGATCGGTGAAACGATGCTCAGGGGATACGGTCGGGAATTTCCTGACAAAGGAAAAGCACAGTCCCAATCCCAAGATCGCGGATTCACCGAGGACTCGAGCATCGGCCAAAGACTTCGGGGTATGGTCTGCGCTCCCTGGCAAAACCCTGGCCCGAAGTCTCCCTCCCCGAAGTCTCGAGGACCTCGCGTCTCGTTTTGGCCCTCGCGCTTTTAGGACGGGGCGCCTGTTTTGAGCCGGCGATGTCCGCTCGGCGCGTCGCGTGGCCAGTAGTTCCTGGCCCCCGACGCCTCGGCGCGGCGCGCTCTCCGCTCCGCTGGCCCCCCCTCGGGGGTGTCCGCGCGCTTCGAGCTCGTGTCCCAGCCGCGCGCCCCGCGAGGCGGAGCGACGCGCCTCTCGCTGGCAAGGCGCAGCGCCCCGCCGGGCCGCCGCCGCGGCACGCTGTGCAGGCGTGCTTGAGCGCAGATGCTTGCGGGAAGGTTTCTTGACTGCAGCTCCTGGGAGGTCGAGTTCTGTTTTTGCCCTGGTCCGACATCTGGCTTCCTCCGGCTTCCTCCCGCTTCATCCGCCTGGATGACGCTCGATCCCGCTTCATGCGGCTTGCTCCCGCTTAATCCGAGGCCCCTTTCGGCGTAGCAGCCCTCCAACGGGGCTTACTCTTCCTCAGCTCTTCCGACGAAGACCTAACCAGTAGTTGCCTCCCAAGAATTGGGGTTTGCGCCCATAGTGTGTGCAAGCAGTGTCGGCAGAGTGCCGACGCCACGGTGCAAAGAAGTTCAGGGGCATTGTCGCGAGCAAAAAGAAGTCGCCTCCCAAGAAGTGGCCGCAAGTCGAAAGAAGAAGATTTTGCATCAGCATCTGGTCGGCGTTGGACAATAGATGGCGTGCCGCGTGGCACCGCAGGCCTGCTGCCCACCTGTGGGGCGGCGTGCGCCGGCGAGGCCCTGGCAGGGGAACCGCGGGCATCTAGGCCTCCTGGCTGGGGTCCGAGCAGATGGGGTCGGAGGATCGCGCCGCATCGCCGATGCATCGAGGATGCGGCTCGATGTTGAGACCGTACTTCCACGCGCCGACGTCGCCGACGCATCGCCGACGCATCGCCGATGCATCGGCGATGCATCGCCGATGCGTCGCCGATGCATTGGCGATGCGGCGCGATCCTTCGACCCCATCTGCTCGGACCCCATCTAGGAGGCCTCTAGTGCACAGATTGGACCGTCCCGGAGGGATCGGCTTCGCAGGGCTAGCGTGCGTTGCGGAGGTCGATGTTGCACGCTACAGG